ACATTTCCCGTACTTAAGTCACCTGGTCGGATATTTTGGGTAGATTTTAGCCACAGATGGTGTTTTGACGTCACTCAATGAACGTATTCGTACTATTCTGCAAGAATGTACTGGTCGTACTTTATTAAGCACTTTCATATTTTTTTCATAAATACCTTACATTTACAAAGATTTCAAAATAATTGGATTTTGTTAGAAAACTGCTTTTATTTCGAAATCTATTTAGGTATTGGAATATAATACGAATATCAAACGTATAACCAATAGAAGACCTTGACGCTCAAAATGACTGCAAAGAGTTCGACAGATTTCACTGTGCCTGTGGCATTTGTTTAAAATATATACCATTAAATTTGGGGTGCAAAAAAAAGAGTATGTTTTAAAAAAATAACGCAAATCATCTAATAACTATATGAAAACACAACAGCCTAGAGCCAGTAAAACAATCCGGTGCGATGAAAATTGCATCAACCTTTAAATGCGGGTGTATTTACTCGATTCAATTAAATCAATCCTAATAAAAATTTTGATGTAAAAGGTTATTTGAGCAAACAATAATGCGGGCCTCAGTAGATCACGGCTAATGCATGGTTTCACGAGTTAAAAACGAAAGCGACGAACGATTTAAAAATATTCCAATCCAACGTTCATAATTGTTCGATAATTGAATCGTGTGCTGTTATGATACATTTTTCCACATTCTGACTATCAAATCAAGCGTTTTTGTGTTATCGCGCGGACGGAATCGTTTTTTATTTCTATCCTACGATTTATTATTTATGGCGGTCTGCATTGTGAAATGGAGCACGGCAGAACACGCTCTCCCTAGCTGTAAATTGTCTGCGAAAAATTTTAAACAAATTTTAACAGTTTACGATATAGTCCGTTTCCGACAGATACGGCTATTAATGTATTACATTGCGGCACAACCAATATTATAAATATCGAAGTCAGATAAGTATACAAAAAACTTTAGCTTACAACTCGTTGTACAGTCAAACATTTTATTGCTCAAAATGCCAAAAAAACTTAAAAATAATGAAAAAGATGTGTTTTTGGAATATTAACATTTAAACTGGTATAGATTCTTGTTCAATATTCAGTACTATAAAAATAAACTTTTTAATATATTTTTTAAAGTGTTGATTTCAACGAATTGAGGGTTCAGTTTAATAAAAACCACTTTTCGACTAATACAATATGCGTAAAAAAAATCCGATAATTTAATTCATACCGAAGAATAAAAGCATTTATAACGTCGTTGCAGTCGAGTATTATTCTTCGATATAAGATGACCAGATGAACTTTAAAATTTTTGTAGAATTCAAAAAATACAATACAATACAATATACAAGGTAACGAATTAAAAAATCACAGTTCATGATCATAACAAAAATTAAATTTTACAAAAATTATACAATGAAAATTGTAAAATAAAGTATTAAGTATTATAAGTTTACATATATTTGTGTTATTAATTATTTTTATTAACCCCAGGTATTATTACAAAAATTGTAATAAACAACATGGATCTTTAGAATCAAATAAATACGAAAAGGTCATACATCATTATTATACATAAGGAATATATTTTACAGTAATTAGCTCATATAAATTACACAATTTTATGTGAATTGAACAAAAAAAATAATTTCATCAAAATTATTTTTTTAAAAGAAAAGTTCTTTTACTGCAGGGTTTGTTGCGCTAACATAGAAAGACACCCAACCAATGCATGGACTGCCTATTTTTCATCTGAGGAATCGAAATATATTTCTACCAAATTTTCTTCACTTGCTTTTAAATTAATTTCAAGAGATTTTATTAAATTAAGTACTGTATAAAAAAGTTTTGTGTGCATTTTTTTGGTGGTAATTTTCTAAGAGTGGAAATAAATGAGTCTGGAAAGAGTAGAAGGCGATTTGAAATATCTTGAGTGTTTTTTCTTCAAGTTTTTCTTGAAAAATATAATCTGTGCCTTATAACGTATGTATTTCTTGGCTCATTTGCCTCTTCAGACAGCTAACCGATTAGTAAAACAAAATAGTTCATAATTTGATTTAGTTAAACTCGACATTCGAAATTTCAAATACTTTCTCAACATCTTCAAAAAATCAGCGTGATGTGTTTCCATCATTGAAACGACCAAACCCGGGTTGTTCTGGCTTATCCGCAATACGTCCAAGTTTCGGACACAGAATATTTTATATTAGACAAACCTTTTTATGTTACACCACAAATGTAACATTTCTAAGTCGATTTATTATTTGTTAACGTATTGTACTGTTTTTCACTGTAACAAATATTTGAAAAGGTACGCTAATATGCTGATTACCAGCAATACCATAAATAAAATTAAACTTTGCACTTCGTTGTTGATATATCGACATTATCTTTCGCTTTTACAGTTAATTTCATAGTTTCTTTAGCAAATTGTAACTTCATTGGATGACAAACCTTAGTGATGAAGTTCTATAATTATCCCACAAGAGATATCAAAAAAATACTGGCGTCATAACTCTTTTCTTCCTCAAACTTCTGTTTGTATTCCCAGTGCCCCGAGCCCCCAAGGACCCGTCGAACCCCTACTTACGTAATGAATTTAAATTAATATTAGGTTTCTTCTAAAATACGATATTATTTCTCTATACAATGGCACTGGTTAATAAGAAATATGATTAAGTAAACTTTGCATGATAATTTCTTCTGAATAACATGATTTTTTGGCCTGTAAAGCTTTGTCGTTATAAGATGGATGAATGTTAGTTTGTATTTTTAACTTGTGACTTATATGTATGATGGTTTCCTTCTTACAATTTAATTTAAATGGCCGGCTTTTAAAATTTTAGTTTGGTTTGGTTCTTTCGCTACTACTTCCATTGCACCTTGAGTGAAATATATTTGAAATTTTCTTTTCCATTTTCTCGAAAACTTAACGTAATTCGTAATAGAAACCTATTTGCTTACAGGCAAAATATAAAAAAACAAATGCAAAATAACAAAATAAATAAACAACTAAATAGGACCAAAATTCAAAATTCTAATTATTTAAATTTCGAATCAAGACGTTTTGACGTGTGCGAGTAAATAATCTAAAACCTATCAAAAAAAGAATTTTTAAATCTTTTTTTATATAACAATAAACGTTGTCCGTTATTTTATACGCTGGTTAATTAACTTAACTCATTGACTCATAATATTATTGAATACTGATTGCAGAACGTTTGTTCAGATTTCATTAATTCGTTTTCAAAAAATGATTAAAATGCGTAGCGCAAAATTTTATTTTATTTCCTTTTTCTATGGAATAGTTGGAAGAATATCTATCGCCCTATTTGCGGAATATGTAACACAACCTTTTTTAATTTAACATTAACATTAACATTTATGCGTTAACATTTCAATTAAAACGCAAATACATATCTCTATCGTTTTCATCCACATCCAAAAGAAAACACTTTAATAATTACGCTTATTATATTTTAATTACTTAGTATTTGTAAGTACTAATGCACAAATTATTGTCACAAAAATGTTTTCTTGGCTCTGACGTATCAATGTCAAAAGAGTAGTTGCTAGATAATTTGGATTCAACGTCTACTAGATGTTTGAAGTGTTTTTGCCATGTTCTTACCAAGTCTGACCGTAGTGAGTTGCGTGCACCAAAGAAAAAGTACTAACGAAAAAAACTCCGCCGTTATATATAAGGGGTTTCACTCGTTAAAACATTTTGTTTTAAATTGTGGGAAGTAAAGAAGATATAGCGCCACCCTGTATGTATCATGATCAGTCAATTGGAGTACTTTTTCTTTATCAACATTTCCAGAAAAAAAGCTTGAAATGTTATTTTAACTTCGCCAGTCAGATCAGATCAGGTCTTCTCGAATATGCCGCGAAAACATTTGACCCTGAAATATGAGACATCACGAAATAAAATTTAATCAACTAAAATTCTGTTGTAAATAATCGATTTTGTGTAATTTATTTACAAAAAATTATAATAAACATTTAACAAACTGGTGAATGCGCTTAAAAGTGCAAAATAGAATAATTAGTCAATAAATATTATCTATAGTTTTAGTGAATTTATTATGTTATATTTATAATTTTAACTTAATATCACAACCGTTTTAGTAAAAATAACGATCAAAACAACAACAAAAAATTCAATTGTTACGCTCGCCTCGTATAGGAGGGAGTATTCAGTAGGTTTTATTAAACTTATAAATATGTATATATGATTTACAAATATATTTGTGAATATCGAAATCAGGAAAAGTTTTCTTAAGCATTTAAAAGTTATATTTACGGTTTTTCTTACATTTGCGATATTTATTGGTTTGTTTTGACACTGCCAAAATAATACATAAACTGTTTTTTGTTGTGTGTGTCATTATAGTGAGTATGACTGCCACATGTTCCTCGCACGTGAGTTAATATATATATCAAGTCAATTCAATGAGTGTATCATAACTTAAGGTTCAAAATTCAAGGTAATATTGAAATCGGCTTTCTGATCTGCATAAACACTAATTTTGAAGTTAAAATTTTTGCCTGCTTGGAAACTATTGTAATTTTTCTTATATTAATTTTCACTGACCCTGCCGTTTTTTTAAAATTACATTTTCTGAAATTTTTGTTACGGATTTAGACATCAAAAATAAAACATAACATAGCAAGCCGTCTGGAATATTTTATATTAGTTTGGTTCCGAAGAAGAACAAAGTACTGGATGAAAAAAGAATGTATATTATCTCAAATAATTTTCTGTTTTATGAAAAAAAGAAAAAATGCAATACAAAAGTTTATTTCAGTCTTTCCATAATGAACAAACACTTTATAAAGAATTTCAAAGAACTTATTTTAATAAACATATTTTAATTACTAAGTAAATTCACATTAGTAAATCTATCAAAATAAACACCAACAAAATAATGGATATAAAAAATTGAAATCTAGTTTAGGTACAATGTAACAAAGAAAACCAACAAAATTTAATTATTTTATGTTAAAAAAAAATCTGAATAGTGATATGTGGTGGTTCTTCTTTAATTTTATAAGTGTATTTACAGAAATGCCTAAAAGAAATGCACTTTCTATTAGAGTATAACATAAAAATATTAATATTATAGAAAAATATTAAATTTAAATTTACAAACAAGAGGTATAAACAAATATAATCAAACAATAAAGTAAATCAAACAAAAATCAATAATATAATAAGTATGGTAACTTCTGTGATGTTATGACTTAGAGAATTATCATTCAATTTTGGAAAATTGAACTACTAAATAACAACTCCATATTTTTGTAAAAAAATAACATCTCAACATTTCTAAAATATTGTTATGATCTTCACGCTCGCTTTAAACAGCAATAGCAGAATTAAAATTTATCAAATCTGAGAATACTGAGCAATTGATTCACCATGATGTATAACCATGTAATCATGGTAGTACATCATTATACATAACGGCTGACCGATGATTATAGAGGCCCAAACTACTATGTTGCCAAACCGCGGACCATATTTCTTCTCTATAAACTTGCAAAAATATGATAGGGGTACTTGTCCCATCATACCCATAAATGCCCATATTTTGTAAGTTTTTAGAGGAACACTGACCTAAATTTTAATCCAAAGTTATTTATACAACTTTTTTAGCAGCAAATTTATGCTTACCATATATTCATGGAAAAAAGCACTGATAAAGAAGACGGTAACACTAGCGGCAGTCCTACCATAGCCCATATCCACCATTGGTAAATAAAGATGCCGAACAGCCCACCTATGTACGGGTAAATTCCAATTGCGCCAGAAAATATCAATATTGTTGGAATTCCACCAATCCGCATAAAAATTTCTATCAGCAAACTGCAGCAACTCCCCCAAAAGATTCAGCCACGAGTGGAATAATATGTAAAACGCTATGAGCCAAGCTAGGTGGTTAGGAATCTTGGAAAAAATTATAACTAAAAAAGTTGGAGTTTACAAAAAAAAAATACTGACTGCTAATTTTAGTAATCTCTCCGAAGCCAATGGAAGATCCATATTACCAAATGGAATTAATGAATTCCTTATGGAGGGTATCATGTACTGTTGAATAACGGCCAATATTATCTGAGTACCAGCCAATACCTCAAATATTCTCTTTACCAAAAAACGTTTTCTAACCCTATCAGTTCTAGGAAAATTCAGTTCATAACATAATGTCGGGGCTAGCAAAAAATACCCCAAATCTCTTGCAGTTAAATTATCTGGATATTGCACTAAGGGTAATTTTGAGCAAGTTAGATCTTCTTCAGAACTGTTCTTGTTTTTATTTTTATTTTTAATCTGTCTCTGAAGATTACTAAGAGAAACAGACTGTCTCCTTAGAGAGCTTTTACTGAACTGTCTAATCAGTCTGCACCACATATTTACTTGAATATAGGACCATAATTTAAGGAACAAAATGCTGTACACTGTGCAAACACATGATGCTCCAACTGAAAACCAAAACAATATATTTAGTAATAAAAAAAATATTGGAACTATGGAATTACCTAAACTAAAACCGTCTTTTACATGGATTGTAACCATAGGCACTAATATCACAGAAATTAAATTCAAGACATGTACCAACATGCCAAAATTGTTTGGGACAATTTCCTAAAAACTGTAAATTAGAATAAAAAAATATGAAGGAGAGAAGTTACTTGCCGCTGCAAGAGCTTTTTCAATAATGAGACATAAAGTGGTAGGTACTAAAGAATCTAAAAAATGAATTCTCTGTAATTACACGACTTGCAAAAAAAAAACACACAAAACAAAAACATACATAAAATCAATATTAGTGATGGATGCTGCGAGCCTTCTTCTTGGGTTAACACATAAAACCATTCTATAGGATCCACTCTTATTCCATATCTAAAAAGCGTTTCAGTAAAAAATGCTGCTTTGATAATTATTAGATACTTACTTTATAAAATTTTCTAATAAAAGCCTGAGACCTCCAATAGAAAGAAGCAGAAACGCCCAATTTACAAAGCCTGTAAAATTATCAAAACCAGAAGTCCAAGAAAATAATGAGTCTCGTGGTTTATGACATCTAAAAAAAAATTGTAATTGGCCATCATTTTCTATATACCAGGTGATTGATAGTCACTAGTACGTTCGACGAATGATTTTTGTTTTTTCACGTTGAATGTCCTATTTGAAGTTCTGGAGAACTAACTAACATTTTTTTTTTCAAATTTTGTTACATCACTATAGTGCGCCATGATCGTTTTGAAATATTTATGCACCTGCAGCGTTGCCAATTCAATTCGAAACAGGCAACATTGCAAATTCAAATAGAACACCATATATATAGTAAGTTTTCTGGTTTTTCGCATAATTCTGAGTAATTTTTGTTAATACTTATGCTTATCTCTTTTCCTTACTTTGGAAAAAAATATTTTTATTCTTTTTTGCAGAAACACATCGCTTTAATAATAAAGCTCTTTTTCCGTGAGCTAGCAATTTCAAAATTTCACAGAGATTGGTTTACAATTGTTTAAATAATCAATACGTAACTTTCATGGTAAGACATACAGCGTCCCAAAAATTTACATTTTTGAAAAAAATTAGTAAAAACACTTTTTTAATGCCACCCATGTATTTGACATTTCCGTTAGGATGGTCAAACTTTACCTACAAATGTTTCCGTATAAAAAGAAGACAGTTAATTGTTTTTTTGGGGGTGCACCAGAATTTTTGATTTAATTCATTGTAAGCTAAGTATAAACACTAATGGAAAATTATTGGAAATGGAAATTAATAAGAATGTACAGTGGTGTGTTCTACTATTCTATACTTCCACCTCTTATTTACATTTAATATTATATTATACAAGTTTTATAAGTGACACTTTAATCACGAGTTCTTTTAGGCACAACCGAGGGGCAGCGGAGCGAGTGCTTAATAGATGAGCTTCTAAATGAGATTATAACCGTTGGTGTATCCTACGCAGAGTACATTTTTGCAAAACAGCACGAATGCTTTCTTTGAGTGGCTTGCGATGTAACCATCACAGCTGACAAACGTCTAAATGCACCCTAACCTGTGACTAAAGTGCTGGAAACAGTGGTTATCGAAGCTGATGTCTCTTTCCTCGCTCCCGATCAGTCCATAATTAGATAGTTTAAAGTAGGGAGTAGAGAAATAAATTTAATTATGTTTATTTAAGATATTTTGGATTCTAAAAATATTGTAATAATTAATTTTTGGCACTCTCGCCTTTTTATCAATAAAATATGAAGATATTTTCTTTTCTTTACATATTTAATATTATTCGGTTGGAAAGAGTGAAATAAGTTTTATGGAAAATATTTAAGTGTTTCATGATAATTTTTCCTTTCTTTATCTAAATAATAAAACAGTTTTTAATTCATTGCCAATATAGACCAGAAGTGGTGAATGATAAAATATTATCTAAAAATAATTAAAAAACGCTTGTAAAATGTAAATTATAATTTTGATTTTATTCATAGATCTACACCACTTATCTCATGTCTATGCTCTACACGTTTGTAAAAAGAGGTTATGAAACTTCTATTCTACCATACAAAATTTATTTTTTCAAAAGTTTCAAACTTACGGTCGATCCGGTTGGTTTTTTCGAGCTTTTGCTTCAACGGCATGGATTTTTTCTGCTTTTGTTACACTGGAAGCTCTTTTTCTAAGTCCTTGTTCATTCATTTTTGAGTAATATTCTAAAACGTCGGGCTGCAGAAGAGAATTTATCAGAAAAGTCGGTCTATTTTGACAATAAAATGTTATCTGTTGAAAGATTAAGCGGATCTATTAAGATCAAAGGGCACAAATGAAGAGGGACATATAGGTTTAGAAACATTATTTTAAGTTGTGGCAAGGAGGGGTAAAAAAGCACTACCTTTATTGCAACCCCACAATTGGCATTTTCTAGCCTTGGAAGAATCACACTTCCTCATTAAGTAAATAACAAAACAAATATTACTTAGAAGTTAAAAGTAGTTAAAATTCATAGATGACATATGTAAAAAATGTTAAACGTTGGCCAAATTTACTAGAATCATTTGCCCATGACCGATTTCTGACTGATTATTAAAATTCCATTTTAGTTTTAAATTAAATAGAGAATATTTTGTGAGGGTCAGTTCTCCTTTTCACATTTTATTAAACGAACACACGCGGTTTTTATTTTCCACTCCATACGTCAAACATAAACGGCGTGTATCCGTCATCACATATCATCGAGCGAAGTAATCGACTATTGTAACGTACATTTCCGTGCAACTATATAGCTACAAGAAGTCAGAGAAGAAACTACCATAAAAAGGCTTCAGAAGCGCCATTTTCAAATCTCGTTTTCAACCAATAAAAACCCGTCATTTGAAACAAAGCAGTAAGACTTCGCAACTTTCAAGAATCAACGTGGCTGCTTACAGCATTTCAAATTCCATCCATTCAATCATGGTAAGTCAGAATGTCCCAAAAATTTATATTTCTGAAAAAAAGTAAAAACTTTTGTATTTGGTATTACCGTTAAGATGTTCAATAATTTACCTACAAAAGCTCCAGTATTAAAAGAACACAGTGTATTGTTTTTTGAGGGTGCACCGGAATTTTTGATTTAACTTATTGTAAGCTAAGTATAAATATTAATAGGAAAAGTATGTACTAGAATTAAAGTAATAAGAATGTAATGTGGTGTGTTCTACTATTCTATACTTCCACGTATTATTATATTATACAAGTTTTAGAAGCTGCACTTTAGTCACGAGTTTCTTTAGGCACGACCGAGGGGTAGCGGACCGAGTACTTAATAAACGAGTTTCTAAATAAGATTAAAAATACAGGGTAGTTTTTTCAAAACAGCATAAAAAGGTTGAGAGGCACCATTTTCAAATCTCGTTGTCAACCGATAAAACCCATCATTTTAAACGACGCAATAAGTCTTCGCAACTTTCAACAATCAGCATGGCTGCTGACAGCACATCAATTTCAATCAATTTATTTTCCATTTGGATATGGCATTTTTTCAGCAGAATTTCGTCAAAATATACTCTTAATCACATTAACGTCCCACTATAAAGTCGAAGCCCAGTTTCTAACCAAACTTGTTCTAATTGTGTGTTTTGGTAAAATGAATGGAATAACCGTCATTAGTAACGTCTACTCGTTTTCTGAGAGGCCAATATTGTTCCCGAGACCAAACATTCACGAAATTACTTTTAACAACACTTTAAACTACTTAATACACAACAAACTTGCACTTTGCAACATTTTTTTCCTGAACAGCGATGTCCACACAAATAACTCATTTTTTGATGGGAGCTGAGCACCTTTTGACAAAATACCGCTTAAAAAATGTAATGTCAATTACTCAAACCGAGTGTGTGAATATTAAATTTTCTTTAACACTTCTGAATTTTGGGTTCTAAAGAGCCTATATTATCCGGATAGGCAAGAGCTCCATGTCTAGTACCAAAAGAAGATTAAATACTTGGAAAATAAAAACATTTTCAGTGTGGAACAGCAATTTATTTTCTGCTTTGACTCATAAATCTCTAGAAGCAATCCAGCTAAGGAATGTGAAATAAATAACTTAAGTGTACTATTCACAATTAGTGTTCTTGGTTAACAATAACAAATCAACAAAGTGTTGTTTAAAATCTCACAAATAAATAACCTGAACTATGTAAGCTTGGCGCTATCTGGTAAAAGTTGCCAATAAAATAAATTTTCACTAGTTTGATTTAACCACTTCAAATCAATGAATTTATTTAATACTTTTTAAATTAAATTAGGTATCATTAACAATCGGTGAAATTATTTATCTTTAGATGCTGAATGTCATCCAGGCTCTTCTTTGCTTTCTGAGAAATATCGTCCATTGACTTTTTTGCACTTGATGTTAAATCATCGAAAGACTTTTTGGTTTGGTGCAAAATCTCATCTGTACTTCTTGTGAGATCTTTTACTTCCTCATTTATTTTTGTTATTACCCATTCCATTGCTTGTCTACCTTTCCCAGCATTGCTCGAGATTTTTGAGGTGAGGAGATCTTCCATGTAATTTGTAAGTGGTACTCCTGGGAAGAAAACAAAATTTTTAAATTCAGTGTGTGAATAAGTTGAGATTCAAAAATATTCTTTTTGAATAGCACTTAGTGTAATAGCAAGGGCTGATTCCTCCACAGGATCTACTAACAATTTAGTAACCATAAATTCAAAAAAGTAACTTCCGAAAATATTTTGACATTATTTTCTGACATTACATATAAAACAAAGCCATATTCAGAAAAATAAAACTATACTTCATTAATATTAATATTTAATATTGTATTTGTGTGTGTATAATATTGTATTAAATTAATGGAATTTAGTTAAAACTGAGTTACATAACTGTTATTTGTGCTGTTAAATTGTTTCAGTAAGGAAAAATCTTAAAAATTACAGAACTATCAACAGCAGTTATGTTCCTTAAATGCTGTCAACATATTTTAAATTTATTGAGTTGATTGTATTAGTTACTGGAAGTAAAAATCACTTTAAGCTTTAACATCTTTTTCCTGTCCCCTCTTACAGATGATTTAGTTTTTAAATTGAATTTTAGTAAGTTACTTCCTAAATAAATAATAAATATGCTTGTCATTACAGTTTATGCAAATTGTATTCAAATACAACTTGTACACAATCACACCTTACTTCACGATAATTACATTACCTTGAACTGTAACCACTGCTTCCTGTTTCAATAATGTCTTACTAGGATCTGAAGGGTGCGGCAAATACCTCAATGTTTCGTTTACTGCAATATGGCGACAGAAAGTGAGATTAACAGTCTTCAGTGTCATATGACGTGATTCTGGATTGACTTCGGAATGCTCTGCAGCATAACATATATTCGCTGAACCTATTAGCTGAATGAAATTGAAATTAGAATAAAATACAAAGATAAATTTGATCTGAAAAAAATGGAAGTTGCATTTTTTGCAAATTTATCAAAGTTATAAGGGATTTAAAAAAAAAACACACTTTTATGGAATAACAGAAAATTTCTACAAATCTTTTAGTCCTATTTTATTTTATTTTTAGTTTATACTGAGGATCTTTTTAAAATTGTTAATCAAGGCTAAATTTATGGCATTTACAGCAGATAAATAATTTCTCTGATTCAAAATGTCTGTTTTAATTTTCAGAATGTGGAGTATGCTTATAAATTCGCGTCTGATGGACTATATGGTAAACCAGTGTGAAAAGATAGCTTTATGTGTCTGTGCATTTTATGTGACTACAATGAACTTGGTCCATAAATAACCAAATCAACTTACTTTTTGTTAGTGCAAGTGCGCTATTGAATAGCTTTTTTGAAAAATTTGAAATATAATATTAAAAAGTGCAAGATCCTTTTATAAAAAAGTGTGAACTTGTCTTGCAATAAAGTAATTACAACTTTTTTGCTGAATTATTTGTAAAAAGTAAATTAAGTCAGTCCAGATAAATTAAAGGATTTGTCCTGCCATTTCTGCTAAATTCTTTGAAAGTGAAATCAAGTTCAAGGTCATATATAATTAGGACCTACAGATAATATGAAACAATTTGGCTCACCATGAACTTGTCATAATCCCTAAGCAGACAACAACCTTGAAATCAGATTGAACTCATTTTTAAAATAGCTAAGGTTTGAGTCTTACTTCATCATCAATATTATATAACATAGAGTTTTAGGAAAATAAAAATAAGTTAGTACTCACTGCTTGAGCCCACTTTGGAAAATACCACATCGAACTAACAAGTCTCTGAGTATGTAAAATTCCATCGACCACCTTCCGTTCTACGACGTCGGTACCTATCACAGCAGGATTATGCGGATTGGGATATTTTCTCCAAGCAGCAGTAGCTACAGTTTCCCACGGATGACTAAGAAAAATAGAATATGTGTAGACATACATGTCAGCCCATTGAAGAAACTTACTTAAATGTGTGTTCACTTGTCCAAATTTTCATTTTGCCTTTAATTTCAGTTTTTTCCGTGGGAACTTACAATGTACTCTCAACTGGACTACAGATAATTGTATTTTCCATCTGTCATATTTCAACCAGAGAAAGATATAAAGTTACAGAATCGTAGAGAGTGTACCATGATTTTTCGCCCATTGCCGCCACAAAAACGCCAAACAGGAAAAATGTGTTTTTTATGTCAATCTTTTCACATTGGTTGGTGATTGTGATATTGCATTTCTGGTTTAATTCTTTTATTTGTGAGTTCTTGATCGAACCATTTATATTTATTTCTCACCTTTTTGATTTTTTGTGGGTAAATTATTTATTAAAGGAAGTTTTGTATCATCGTTTTTGAACTAAGCAAATAATTAATATTTAAAATTTCTAAGTATATCAATTTTTTGCGTTTTATTTTGTTTTTTTTTTCATCAAATAATAATGCTAAACATATTATTTACAAATATTTAAAGAAAATGTTATTTGATCGTCAAATAATTGTATCGGTATATAGTGTAATTATATTCAGAGAAAGAAAATAATCTCTATTACTACCCTTTTTATTTATAAAATTTAACTCACTGGGAAAAATGAAAAAATCGCCGTTGTATATTTTGCGAACTTCTTGCTCTAGTGAAGGAACCTTTGATTTGAGCCATACAAAAATTAGAACGTTATGGCATCTCATATAGCCATAGTTGATAGAAAGGTAAGCTAAGGTATGTCAGTTTGTTTTGGGTTGGGTATTTTCGTTTTTATTGAACATACCTATTTGTTAAGAAAAATTATAGAGCATGGCAGATGTGGAAAAAGATAAGAAATTGAAATTAGCAAATACAAGGAAGAGGGTGAGTGATTGAATATAAATTAGGTTCTCAGTTAACGTAAACCTTCAAACTTGAAAAAGGTTTATAGGTTAGCCACATCATCATCATAGCTTTGTTTCAGTTTAAGGAACTCCAGGAATTGAAAAGGAAAAAGAATGAGTCCAATATAGTCACAGAAAGTTCCGATCTATCTTCAAGTGACATTCATCAGGATAACTTTCCCAACACTCTCTCTTTAAGTAATGCACAAAGTGAATCAAGCAAAAACCCAGGAGAGAATCTTTCCCATGAATCCTCCCTTCAAGAAAATGTAAGCCCAAGTAACTTAACACCATACTTCAATAATGATTGTATTGGTGTAAACTATGGTCCCGTGGATTTTTTTGATAATATATCTGTGCCAAATGTTAACAAAATAAAAGACGACACTCCTCTTTTAACATATTTTAATACTGAAAATGATGCAGAAAGCAATGACCAATATATAGGACAGCCAAAATACTTTGATAATACTTCAGCAAAGTTAGATAATTTATTTACTGAAAGTAATCAATCCAATTATACATTATTTCCCCAAGATATTAGAAACAAGCCAACATCATCCAATAGTGAGAACAATTCAAACATGAATGATGATGTTCTCTGTCAAGATGACCCAGAAATAAGGGAAAATGAAATTGCAGAGTACCAGCGAAGAGCTTCTGCCATGAATGACATTATTCAGGACCCAAACATTAGTCATAATGTAGATGACAGTGTTTCTTCTGCTAATGATTCCCGCCTTATAATTGATTTAGACAACACTTCTTCTGTGGAGGAAAAACGAGATAACAACACAACAAAACAAGAAATTAGTCTCTCAACAGATATCGCGAGACAAGAAATTCAACATTCAAACGTGGAAAATTTGAGGCAGATATCTGATCAGCTAGCGCAAATGATAGAACCAAGTTGTGAATTTTCTTCAATGGGATCAATAACAGATTTGGAGAAAAGAAATTTAGAATTGGCTGCAAATTTAGAAAGGGAAAGAATGTTTTCTCAACAACTGCAAGCTGCGAATGAGGAATATCGATTGCATATTCATAATTTGGAATTGAGAATAAAAGAAAGAGATTCAAGTTCAGAATTGCAGGCAGTTCAAGAAATTTCCAGATTAAAAGGTAGGTTGATATAAGAAGGGTACTGTTATGACAAAAGGTTCATCTTCAAATTGGCACTTGCAATATTTCTTTCATTGTTATTCATATTTAGGTGAACTTCAAGCGCATTTCCAAACCATTGGATTATTGGTAGCAGAAAAAACTGAGCTTTCAGCCAACCTCAGTCAATATGAGGTGAATTGGAAGCAGAAGACTGCAGAGTGTGAAGATTTACAAGGGCGCTTAAAAGCCTCAAGATCAAGAGTGTCAGACTTGGAAAGGGAATTAAGCAATATCAAAGCTGAAAAGGCTAAAGTTGAAAATATTGGAGGACAATACAATGAGCATTTGGAAAAGCTTAAGGAGGAGTATAAGATCATAAAAGCACAAAAAGATGAATTAATTCAAGATTTATTAGAGGCGCGAGAACGACTGGCTCAAACTTTGGAAGAAAATCTGTCTCTCCAGCAACAGAATAAAGTATATTAACAGTCATCTCTTAAAATGATCTTGACATTTTTTCTTATAGGAATTGAATGGAAAACTTTCAATGGCAGATATTAAAATTCAACAGTTAACAGTAGGTGGTCAAATCAGCACTGATAATCAGATTGAACAGTTAATTAAAGACAAGGTTGCTTTAGAAAGTGAAGTGACTAATCTAAACCAAATACTTAAATCTATAATTAAGGAGAGAGATGAATCAACTTCACAATATCAACAGTATGCTCAACAGTTAAATGGTAAGCAAACAAAATTTAGCAAGACAGAAGCAAATTGCACTGACATGTTGTATTGTGTTGATCGGATGAGTCATACATACTTCTCCTCACACATTGTGACTAAAAGTCTGGAAACATATATTTGCATTTATTTCACCAAATGTGACTGTCATGAAATGAATGGAAGTATACAAAAAAAGTTCCAACAGGCAGAGGGTGTAATGAATATCTGGTCCACCCACATTTTTTCAAACAAATTCCATATCAGAATCCAGGGGCGCCATCAAAAAATAGCTGTCTAATCTAGGCAACATCCCATCTGCGATGTGTTGCCAGCTGTATTGTTTCTAAATTCCAGGTCAAATATCCAACTTGTCTGAAAAATTGGAGCAACTGCAAGTGGAAAATGAAAATTTGTTAACTCAAGAACAGAGTCGGATTAAACACATGGGGGAACTTGAAAGGCAACTACAAATCCTCCAGGACAATCAGATTTTTTACACCACACAAAACGCCAACTCTGATCTTAAAACTGAACTTGAAAAGTCTAAAGAACTCTGTGTGGAAATGCAAATAGAAAAAAGTGAAGCCATTGACAATTATACTAAGGTGATTTTTATTTAGTTTGGTAATATGTGTTGAACTTCATGTGGGTTTGAATACTGTGTGTACTTTATTCTGCCTCCTATATAATATTAGAATTTTAAAATTTTAAATTAAAATTTTATTGGAACATCCTTAAGATAGTTTTGGTTAGTTTTAGTTAGACATCAAATTCTAGTTTTCTAACTTGTCTTGAGTAGACCACGTGAGTGGGAAATTTCATAAGTCAGCAGGCTCATACTTTTAAGGAAAAAGGAAAAATATTTCAATACTATTATGTAGTTAAATATCTTGGGATGAACAGTTAAATTTCAGCACACAAATAAAAACTGTTGCAACTCATCTAAAGTTTTAGGAATTGTGATATGGCACCACACTGTCTCCAGTCTGTAGGGAGGCAAATTAAGCTTACTTGAACTTTCTTTATTAGTTTTATATTATCTCTTTCATCTTGCTGTAATTTGTGGTTTTATTAATGTTATTTTTAAACTATTTATTAAGCCACCAGTACTGAAATGAATACTTTGCTTTGCTTTTAAAAGTGTAATCCTATATCAATTAATTGGAAACTGACAAATTGGCAGATATAGTTTCAATATAAGGTAACTATCAATCGATGTACTATAAGATAGTATCAAAAATTATTTTCTCAATGGTGATTACTTTTATTTTATTACAGGTTTCCAACGAAAATGAGCTGCTGCTGAAACAAATTGAAGCCAAAAATGACTCTATATCTCAACTGGAAAACATGGTGGAACAACTGAGAGGAAATCAACCAGATAGTGTAAAATTATTGGCAACGATGGAAAGCGATAAGGTTGCCGCTGCGCGGGCCGTACAGCAAAATAAGGACCTTAAAATGCAGTTGGATAGCATGCAAGAAGTTTTTATGAAATTGGTAAATGTTTTAAATTGGTCTTGTGAATAAATTATTTTAAAAATGTATTTATTTCAGGATAATGACAAAGTCGAATTAACTGATAGATTAAATTTACAACAACAAACTAATAAAGATTTGATGGAAAAGCTTCAAAAAACCGAGCTTCATCTCCAGACGTTAGCCGATGCCATTGAAATTAAGGATCAAGAGCTTGTTCATCTTCGAGAAGCTTCAGCAGATTTTGACAGAGATACTTTACATTATAAGCAATTGGAAGATAGGTTAAGACATTATGAAGCAACTGATAACTCCTCAAATGCTTTACAGCATGAACTTCAGGATATGAAACATACAGTTATTAAACTTACAAATGAACTAAACAAGATGAAAAATAATGTTCAAATTGAGCGACCGCCGGAGCTCTCCGAGTCGGAATTAGGTGAAGCTAAGAAAAAAATAATAGAACTAACCAAGGAAATCAATAGATTAAAATCACAGAAAAATGTTGACCTAAATATTGAAAATAAAGAAGTTAATGACTTAATTACAAATGATTCCAATCAAAATATGTTAGACAAGGAGAATGCAATGAAATATTTGGAAGAGAAAGTGAAGAGGACAATGCAAGAAATAGCAAATTTGACAGATGAGAAACAAAGGCTAGAACATATTGTTCTTCAACTGCAAGGAGAAACTGAAACGATAGGTGAATATGTCGCCCTGTATCAGCATCAGAGAATGGTTCTTAAACAAAAGGCGCAGGAGAAAGACCAGCAATTAAAACAATTGGCCCAGGACAGGGAACTGATAAAGGGTAAATTGGATCGGCTTAATCAGCTTATCGAAAAACTGGTCATAGAAAAAGGTGCCATTCCGAAAGAACTCATCCTACACCAAGAATCGGTGAATAATCAAGTTGAGAGTCTTTCTGAAGAGCGTACTAGGATTAACGACAAGATAAATAGCATAACTTTTAGTGGTAGTGCACGAGCTGAGAATACTAGTATTCAAACTGCCGAGGAAATAATATCTCTCTTATCTGAAATAAAAAGCAGTAATTTAGTGCAGCCAAATGAAAATTATCACCATTGTCCTTGGTGTTCGGGGCAGTTATTAACAGTTTGATTTTAATATAACCGATTTTGTAAAAAGATATATTTGGTATGGTGGTCATGTTTAGATTTTGTAACCAACGAATATTTTTAAAATGATAAACATGTTTGTTTTGCTACATTAGAATTTGAAATAATTGCGACATATTTCAAAGTGCCTTCAGGAAAAATTAAAGCTCTGGAAGTGTTGCTAAATGGTTTTTTATGATTCCTGATGAAGTTTTATTTCCTCGTATATGTCTTTAAAAAATATAAGAGGTCAGTTTTTTTCCATTTTAGTGGCAATTTTGTTATATTGTATATTTGTTAAATAAGGAATGCTATTTAAATATACTTATCCTCTTCAAGTTGATATTTTTCTTATTGATTTCAAAGATTTGATGTATATAGGGTGTTTCAGTTTTGTGTCGCATCAACTTAACAATCGAAAGAACTTAAAGAACTTTCAAAATTGCAACATGTTCTTCTAAATTTAGACGACCAGACCATTTTTGTCGATAATACTTATCCATTAAGTTTCTTATGACCCTGTAATAATGTACTGAATATCTATCAAGCTCTAATTAAATTACCGCATATTCCATATATTTGTATGTTCTGCTTCTAAAAATTCCAAAAAAAACTGCCACCTTCAACCTCTGAGATAAAAAGTAAGATTCTAAAAGATCTTATAAATGCTTATCCAGATGTTTATGAAATTTCTGGTGTCAATGTGCTGGATATCTATCAACATGGACTCAGGTTCGACTTAAATTTCCGCATATTGCTATGTTTCGCTTCTAAAAATTCTAAAAAAACTGCCACCTCTGAGGTGAAAAGTAAGCTTCTAAAAGATCTTAAAATGCCTATCTAGACGTTTATGAAATTTCTAGTCCAATGCACTGGTTATAAAAATTTACAATTCGAGGACGAGTAAAATAGAATTTACCTGTCCATGAGATTTCTTAAAAATGATCTATTATTTGCAGTTTCATTAAGAATTCTATTCATGCTGGGGTAGTAATCCTCGAACAGACCTGTTAATCTGATCCTGAATTTTCCGCTGAACTAAAGAGATTACCACTACTGAATTTAATTTCTGAACACATGTTTTATTTAAAGACTAAAATATTTCGAAAATTTTGCAAAATTTGTTGCGAAAACATGCCAATCTCGGAAACTAGTTAAATATTAAGCGTCAGGAGTCAACCAACCAACCAACCAGTTTGTATGAACTATTAGAGTAAAATATTTACAACAAATACCTTTCTATTGAAGTTATATGTTATATTAATACACAAAACAGTTCTCTTAAGCAAAAATCATTTCATCTCTCCTGCGTTTGGGCTGGTTCGGTTTCAGCTGACATTCTGGGTGATTCATCAATTCCGGTGGGCAATTAGATACCGGCGACGATATCAGCATCTGCTTAAGGTCATAGAACAATGCTGAATCATCATTCGTGCAGAAGCTGACTGCCACACCAGTTTTACCAGCGCGACCGGTTCGCCCGATACGATGAGTATAATCTGCAAAATAGTCATGAGGTATTTTTTTTATTAAATCGCAACTCACCTTCAATTGTTTTGGCCATATCATAATTGATGACCATGGAAACGTCTTTGATGTCGATACCTCTCCCTGCAACATCAGTGGCAACCAAAATGTCCTTTGCGCCAGACTTTAGACTTGCCAATGCATATTCTCTTTGTTCTTGACCTTTGCCACCGTGAAGTGTGCAAGCATTGTAACTAAGTTTCTCCAGACCTTTAACAGAAAATTAATTTATTTTCCTTTTCAAAATTTGAGGCAGTCTGTGTCTCTCTATGATTTTAAATCTATTTGCAAGTATTGAGTTATAAAATAAGTGCAAAAGCAAACACTACAAATTAATAAAATTTGAACTATTATTTTCCAATATCCAATTCAATTTAATACCTTTACAACAAAATAATTATAGAAGTTCTCAGGATTACAGAAATGAAAAAATATCAGACTATCCATAGATAAATATGAATATGCCCCCGTGAGCTTTAAATTAAGCAGAATTACCTTTGTGAATGTATACTTCAGTTCCAAAAAAAATGTTCTTTAAATCATAATTATGAGATATTAAAAAATTGAAATTCAAAGAAAAAAATGACAACATTTGCAAAATGGCCATAATAAAAACATGAATCATAGAGGATACTTAAAAAGTGAACATTTTGGCAGTGAAAACTTTTTACATTTGATATTTTATTGAAATATCTACTTATGAACCGACCTAGAAACAGCAAATATGTTTACCTTTAGCAAGAACATCAGCACCCTTCTTTTGGTTAACGAAAATAATAATTGGGGGATCAAATCCTTTTGAAAGGTATTCCATAAGTTTCCGTCTTTTATCATTCTCGCCTAATATGTGTACAATTTGTTCTACTCTTTCTGTGGGTTTACCAATGGATCCAATGTATACCACAGCTGGCCTTCTTAGGTAGGTCCTTGCCAATCTAAAAAGAAATATATTTTAACTTATTGAATTAATTTATTATTTAAGTAGACAAAACCTTTCTACTGCGGGAGGCATAGTAGCAGTAAACATGACAGTCTGTCGATATTTTTTTTTGCTATTGTAATTGGCCAACAATACTTTTGTATCTTCAGCTTCTTCTGTGTCTGGTTTTAAATTTGTGACAGGCATGTATTCAAGAATTTTTTGAACATCAGGTTCAAACCCTAAAAAAATAAACTTTTTTGTGCATTGTTTAAGTGGTACACGTGATACACGCCAGTGCCTGCGGTATTTCGTTACTGTTACACAATGTTAAAAATTCAAAAACCACCTTAAATGGTTTCAAGTCCCCTACAAAGTGAGAGGTTAGACTAATTTTTTTTCCACAACAACAACCAGTAACCAAAAGGGGATATACCCTACAGGAAAAACATTACCGCTAAATATTTTAAAGGAATGGAAACGAAAGACGATTTTGAATTTATTAAAGAAAGTTAAAAAGTTTTTGTTTCATCGATAGGAAGCAACTTTTAAAAATTGAATATTTTTTATTTTGCGTATGGATTCCTTAAAAAAAAAACATTGTCTTTATGTAAGATACAGCCTCTTCTGGTTTGGGATATCTTATATGGCTAAAAACATATTTAATAAACACATAAAATAATAAAACCAGTTACTATTCTGTCAAATTGTTCCTTTTCATTTAAGATGTGATACTATAATTAAACTCTTGAAATATTTACTTTATTTGCATATTAAACCAGCGAATTTGGAAATATGCATGTATGAAACCATATAAAAGGCGACTTTATTAAATGTATATCATTCATTGTGATTTTAAGTGTTCACTATCTTCGTCGCTATTAAATATTTTTTTATGCAATAAAAATTTTCTCTGAAAAAACGTCATGAACATTTGCCAATGTATTTCATAGTTTTTTAGCAGTATATTGCAGTATATAATTTCAACTAACATGTTTATTTTTTGATTAAACAGTTCCCTCCAATGATCGATAAAATAAGTTCAAAATAAAAATGTTTTTCTCATCCCTACTCTAAAATTCCAAAGGGACACTTAAAAATGTCAACTTAATTAAACATCCATTACATGAGTCACTGGTTGAGGGACGATTGTGTAAATTGAAAATACTAAATGATAGTTTACTCCAACAATGTCACTGATAATGCTCGTTTAAAAGGCGGTTACTTTTATGAACATATGGCTAAACAATAAAGATCATTTCCAAAAACCTGTCGAAAATGCTCTTATAAAATTTTCTTTATTGGATCATGTTGATGAATTATAAAAGCTTACCTAAATCAATCATACGATCAGCTTCATCCAATACAATGTAAGTACACTGGTTCAGCACGAGATAGCGATTGTCCAATACATCAATTAAACGACCTGGTGTGGCAATAACAATTTCACAACCCATTCTTAGTCTGAAGCCCTGTTCCTCTCTACTCAAACCTAAAAAATTACAGTAGGACTTATGTAAATCTAAATAAATTTTAAAAGTTAAATTATTAATTAAGCATGCTTTTTATATTGGATTATACCAATTGGATTTGTTTGTTAACTACAACCTCAAGATTAAACATGGTATTCCTCTAGATTGTCGATTTGTCTGTAATTGTGGGGTATCTAAACATTGTAATTCAAGATATCAAAATAAAGTATTGTGTCTTAAAGCATTCTAAAAACAAAATATTACTGCTATTTAGTGAAACTTGAGGGGTTTGTTTGTATACATGATTTTAGAAACATCAAAACTGAATGACTCTCTACATCAAAAAATGAGATTTTATTGTTGCATATAATTTGATCACTTTTCTGATACTATCAATAATTGCTAGTAAATTTAATAACTGTAAATTGGTTGTTATTTTTTCATTCTTTTTAAGTGCTATGGAAATTAATCAACAAAAAAAATAATATCTATGTACATACCTCCTACTACCACAACAGTTCTAATACCTAAAGGCTGACCAAATTTTACAGTTTCTTCTTCAATTTGTTGAGCCAGTTCACGAGTTGGTGCCAAGATTATGGCATAAGGTCCCTGATCAGCATCTTCTGTCCTTTCAATTTTAGGCAATGATTGAATCCATGACAGTAGTGGTATAAGAAAGGCCAATGTTTTACCAGATCCTGTTTCTGCAACCCCAATGATATCACGATTTTGCATGCCAATGGGTATGGCTTGCCTCTGAATGGGTGTGGGATCTTTATAACCAACTTTATCAATTATTTCTAGCAACTCTTTCTGGATCCCAGATTCTTTCCAGACACGAATAGGTTCGGGAATCTTACCACCCTTAATGGTAATGTTATAATCTTCTCTAAATATACGCCAATCTCTCTCAGTCATTTCATCTTTTTCTTTTTCAGACCAGTGGCGATCATCCCATAACTGTTTTTCTTCTTTTCTCCGGACCTTCTTAAGTCTAACTTTCTCTTGAGCCTTTTCAGCTTCTGTTCTCCTCTTTTCTAACAATTCTCCATAAAATTTACTTTGATCGCGCTTCTGTGCTTTAATGTCTATACCTGCCAAATTACCTCTGCCAAAAAATTGTATCTAAAAGCAAAAAGTGTAAGTGAGATTGAATTTTTTTACTAAACCCATACCTGATGTTTTTCTTTATATAATGGATTATAATCCAATGATGTATCCTCTCCAGCATCCCAATCAAATACAAATTTCCTATCATTAAGTCGTCTTACTCTTCGTTTCTTCTTTATTAAACCCAAGTAACGTTCTTTAATTGCTTCTTGTTCCTTTTCTTTGTCTTTATCCTTTTGCTTTTCATCATCCCTTTCTCTTTCCCTATTCCTCCTATCTCTATCTCTATCATCTTTTTTCTCTTCCTGTACTCTGGATGTGTGGATATTATGCAAAATTTTCCTTTCTTCTTCCTGAAGTTTTCTTTGCTTATCGACTTCTTCTTGTCTACGTTTCAAAGCTTCAGCTACACGTTGTTCTTTCGTTAGGAATATAGGCTTGCTTTTTGCAGCTTCTTCTGCTTTCTTTTTTGCCAGCAACTCTTCAAGAGACAGTGGCTCCTTCTTAAGAGGAACCTTAAGTTTTATGTCAGCTTTAGTATCGGTTAATTTTTCCTCTTCCTCTAAAGATTTTTTAATTTCTTTAGGTTTCCTATCTCTATCTTCTTTTTTATTTTCTCTAGAGTCTCGATCAGAATATTTTTCTTTCTCAGTCCTGTCATATCGATCATCCCGTCTGTCTTGCCTATCGTCTCGCCTATCATACAGTTTATCTCTTCGGTCATATTTATTATTTTCATACCTTTCTCTTGATCTGGACCTCTGTCGTTTGTGCGATTTTTCTTTACTTTTGGAACGTGACCGTCTATTTCTTTTTTCCCGTTCCTTTCCCATAACGAACTCAAGATTAAAATTTCATTTAACTACACTTTGGTCCCGATTTTAAAACTACTTCTTTTTCAAGTGTTTTGGTATTTATCCCCAATATTTTCATGAAAATTTAACTTTTACGTAAATTATGAAGTTCGGCTTCTCATATTTTTTCCATGAATCTTCTTCTTTTTGTCAATAGAGTTAATGGTAAAAAATGGAATATGCTTGCCCACACAGAGACGTCAGAATTTTGAGCTATTGCCCCATTCCATTTATACTGCCCATTTTAAGTGACTTTCCTATAAAAACGATTTATGTTTATTCATACACCGATAATACATCAGATAGAAAATATTTCGTGCCGTTCGTAAACCGCTTAAACACAAAATTGGCAATAAAACATTATCTATACACAAGCAGCCGAACAACAAAATGGAGCAAATGCAAACCAAATATGTTTTTGAAAGTTATTATTTGTCTATTTGCAATCGTCCTCAGAGGAAATAAATGAATTAATTTTTTTATTTGAAAAATTCCAACTATAATATCACCGCGTATGGTCTTAAACTTATAATCATTCCTAACCAGTTTTCATATATGAATTGCAGTGGTTAAAATTTTAACTATGCCCAGCGTGTATAGGTTAGCAATTTAGCATTCTTAACCTATAACAATCGTATAAAGTACTTTTTATAAAAACAGTATTTCCAATATTTTTCGATATGGCTTTGACGAAACCAAAATCCGAAATGACGTCCGAAGAACTGCAGGCTCGTGAGGAGGAGGAATTCAATACGGGTCCCCTGTCGGTGCTTACTCAATCCGTGAAAAACAACACACAGGTCCTAATAAATTGCCGGAATAATAAAAAGTTATTAGGACGTGTAAAAGCGTTCGATAGACATTGCAACATGGTTTTAGAAAACGTGAAAGAAATGTGGACTGAATTGCCTCGACCTGGTAAAGGAAAGAAAAAAGCAAAGCCAGTGAATAAGGATAGGTTTATTTCGAAGATGTTTCTACGAGGGGATGCAGTTATAATGGTTGTACGTAACCCATTGGCCACCTCTAATTAAGTCAAATAATTTTGTTTATACCCTAACCATGTAACTTAAAATAAGTCTTGTTTTTTACTTTGGTGTAGTTTGTAACTACTGATGAATAATATTTGAAGTGGTAAATGTTTCAAGCCATAGTGTTAACAATGCTTACCTGCCAAATTTGAATAAACAAATTCAGAAAAATAATTGTGTTTTGTGACTAGTAGTATTCCGCGTTATTGGCCAACAATTGAAGTGTTATTGCTATTAATTTGCTACTGCTTTTTAATGAACTATTCACATAATAAATATCGATTTTAGCATTATTAAGCAATTTGCACCTTTGAAAAAATATCACTAGTATTAGTTAAAAGGGTTAATACCTGAATAATAGATGCAAAAAGCAATTTTTTATATAGGTGGTAAGTAGACTGGGTGTAGAATGTTGGAAGTTTTGACATGGCACATGTCCCTGTCAACTTTTTTCATGTTGGCTTCAAAATTGCGTGTATTGTCGCATACGCCCTCTTTATTTCTAGTAGATATATGGTACAGACTGTTTATTTAATTTTGTTTTTAAAAACAAACGATTTTGCAAAAAATATTTTTGTATAGTTAAAAACGAATTATGTTTTAAATAGGAAAAAGCAGTCGTCAAATTTATATTTTTATTATAAACTTTATAGTTGTATATAACTGTATAGAGGGTGCTCCTTAATGGTGTGCCAATCTTACGGTCTCCTAAAGCAATGACTAGTCGAGTGATTTTTAGTAGAGAGGTAGAGCACTCATGGAATAATTAAGATTCGCTTTAAACTCTATTGTCTTCACGACTTAGTTGGCGCTTATAGGTGCGAACCCTACTGGTATAATCGTTAATGATTAATAGGATCCTAAAAGTCTATATATCTAAGAATGGATTCTAGATATGTTTGTGAAATTTGATCCATTTGTGCATCAAGAGGCATTTTTAGATTCACAACACGCGCAGCATATCTTTGAAGATATGCACGCCACTATCATTTTCCTATATTGCTTAGATATAATTTTTCTATATTCCTTAGATAATCTAGTTATTTCTGCATTAAAAGCATCTCTTGCATTTTTTTTTAAATTAAAATACTACATTACAACACTGACTAATAAAGGAAATGCGTAAATGTATGTAAAGTTTTATATTGACTAGGCATTTAAGGTGACCCTATTTCGATTATTTATTCAGAGTAAACGGAATCTAAATTAGAAAAAAGAACAGCTCTGTCTTGTAAGGCATTAACTAAAAATTTTTGAAAATTAGGTTTAGTTATGGCATGGGTTTTCGTCTAACCATACATGATTAGTACGGAAATTCGTATATAATTTACTGTACTGACGAAACATTTTTTAAACTACTAAAAATTCAATTAATTTTGTCCTTGATCAAGACTAGTAGCTCGTACCAAGGAGAAAATGTTTAATGTCTGAATGAACATAGAATATCTGGTTCTCAGATACTGAGTCCACTTCAACGAAACATTTTGCCTGTTTCCACAATATATTTGTTTTAACTGAAACGTGGCTCAAGTGAGTGTTGAAGAGGTGGAGAGGTTGTAACTCAAAAATTTCTAAACCATACGATCTTTCGACAACATCCAACAGGTTTTTGCAACCATTGGATCAAATTGAGTTTTATAGTTAGAGCAGTTCACTAATCTAATCTCCTGCTGCAAGCTTACTCAATTTTTTCGAAGACCTTAGCGATTCATTATATTTCAGTTGTATTCTACCTGTTTGCCAGAATGACAATCTCACTTTTTCAGCTATTAGTATCTCGTGGAGATTATGTCACAACATATTTGTTTTAACTGAAACGTTGATGCATGGCAGTATCTCCATCTCAAGTGAGTGTTGAAGAGGTGGATAGGTTGCAACTCACAAAACCTTACTTTCGAAACGATTGGATATTTCGACAATATCGAATAGGTTTTTGCAATCATTGAGTAAAAAATTGGTTTACATCCTATCTCATCTCCTACTTCACGTTTACACAATTTTTTCGAAGACGCTGGCTATTCTATTGCATTTTAGTTATTCTAGCTTATTCTACCGGTTTACCAGAATGACAATCTCAGTTCTTCAGCTACTACCTCGTTACAACCTCAGGATGCTGCAAGGGTGGAGGTTACAACGGTTACAATTACTTCCGCAGCCTTTTGGACCTGTACCTACTCTTTCTGACTCTATTTGTTTACCCACCTGTTAGTGTTACATTGAGAGAAAATTCTGAGACTTTTAATGGCCTTGACGTCAACTGGTTTCTACAGATACTTCAAATCTGCCAATTTTTCAGATATTGTTGGGAAAGCACATAAGAAATTTAAATTAACTGACTTTGATAATGATTATGGAAAATTCTCTGGCTTAAGAGTTTTATGCATATGGAATAGTATTAATCTATATGTATATAACAAAAAAACGGTTGGTATAAAGTATGTCCACGATTACAATAGACACGAGCAAAATGAGACTAAAATGTGAAAGATACAACAAAAAAATTATTCATTATCAAAGAAAGTGGTCTTTTTGACAGCTTGAAGATAAAATGTTAATTATAAATTTTGTTTTTAATTAAAAAATACATCTTATTACCCATTTGTTGATGTTGACTTTAGAATAGAGAATTTTTATATTCAAAGGGGAGGGCGAAAATTCTTATCGCTACATTTTCGAAATGCTTCAAGAAAAGCCTCCAAATATTCCATTCCATGTGCAGAAGTTTGGTACATTTAGTAACAGTTAGTAAATAAATTCAAACAACCTGAATCCGTTTATGATGCTTATGCTTTCCTTAAGAAAACAAGCACAACATTTACAAGTCTTTAAAAAAAGTTGTATTGGCCATATGTTAAGGAAAAATAAAATCTGTCCAAATAAACCAGTTTTTGGATCGGCAATAAAATTTTAAATACAACTTTTAGTATAAACGACACCGTGGCTTCTCAGCACTTTAGATGTTGGAGTAATGAAAATCCAAAATTTACAAATGCGAATCGTCAATACTTCAAAAAAGTAAATGTTTGGTGTGCTATTTTCTATTATGAAATTATAATGTACTTTTGTGATAAGACGACATTCTCATTTGAACATGGCGAAAACATGTTTTTCTACTCCTACCTAATTATATACCGATCTAGTGTGCGAAGATGTCTTTTCACTCCCGTCTGTAAAATACCTAATTACCCACCGATCTAGCGTGCTGGAAGCGTCAGTTTACCACGTCAGTTTCGTTTTCCATGAATCTGATCCACTTCGGACATTTCCGGGATTTTACCGCACGGATTTAGGAGCAATCGGATGTTTTCGGAGATATTTCCCACGCTTTGAATTTTGACGTTTATCATTTCTGATGGTCATGTGAGTGAATGTATTTGTGTTGTTTTGCGAAAACGTACCCAAAAACTAACGGTCGTAGAAAAAGTATAGTATGCAACACGTTCGGTAAACTCGTTCATTAAACACTCGCTCCGCTGCGCTCCGCTGATGTCAAATAAACTCGTGAGTCAAATGCCGTTTACCGCACTTGTTGCATAATATTCTAATTTTACCGCGTCAGTTTCGATGTCCACGGATCGGAGTCACTTCGGGGATATTACCGCACGGCTTGGATGTTGACGTTTGTCAATTCAAATTTAGCCAAAAATTAAAGGCAATAGAAAAAGTATAGTACGTAACATATTTGGTAAATTTTCTAATTCACTCCTTTATTAAGCATAATAAACTATTTGTTGCATACTTCTGAGTCTGTCATTTTGGATTATAAATATTCTTTGTTCTAAAGTCAGCACTTTTCTTATTTTGACAATCAAATAAAATAAGTGATAATGCGAAATATTTTGATTTTAAATCGAAATTTTAAAATTTCGAAATTTTGCTTGAAAATTTGTAATGATTGATTGATGTATTTTGAAATTTAAATAATATTTGTATTTAAGTAGTAAAAAGACCATTCTACTCTTTAGCAAATTTTCTCTTTATTTTATTTTTATTTATATTTATATTTATATTAGTGCGTTTTTTTCGTACCCTTTACAAAACAAACGTCAGGCATTATGAACGTTTAAACCAAGCGAAAACTTTAGAATGGCTTTTTCCGTATCTTTCACTTTTTGGTCCATTTGTTCTCTTGCCTACTTCATGGGTGAAGATACTGTATATGTGAGTAGGTATAGGTTAACCTTTTTTATTTTATTGAAAATGATTGAAAAACTTCTTGAACAAATTAGACAATTGTGAGAAAAGGTATTTAATTTGGACTATTTGAAAATATGCTTAATTTTATTGTCCTATTGGGGTTTTTGTGGTGCTTTGTTGCAAAGCGTCCTCGCAACCAGTTTTCCAATAAGGCGTAAATTATATCAAGCGACAAGCGACCTGAAGTATTAAGTGACCTACCCCCGTCACGGTACGTAGCAATGCACGTTGAGTTTTTCAAGCGTGTATAATGTCCTTTGTTTCAGCACGCGCGAACTAACCGTGTGTTTTTCTCATTTTCCACGTAATCGGTCGGTTTAACGTGAAGGCAAATGCCAATGTTGCTTGCACCTCAACGTGCCCTTAAGAAGGTTCACGAAGAAATTGTTATTGCGCTGCATTTAAACGCAAGGCTGCGGCGCATTGTTTTGTTCGCTGCAAACTTAATCTGCTTCGCTTCAAGGAAAACGTTTTCTGGGTCACTATTTTGCTTTGTTACGTTTATTACACACAACACATTGCTACCAGACGTGTTTACAGGCAATGCGAAATTTACCATTAAAGCTGCCTTATACAGTGTGATCATTTGAGTACTTACACAAAAAAAAAAACTCAAGCTCTATTTTGCTTCTTGCAATAAACTGAAATCGCTACTAAGGGAATATACAGGTGGATTCATTAACTTATTCATCAGTTCGTCAAATTAAAATAACATATAAACACAAACCTGAAAGTACTTTGATACCTAGATACAGGATGTGAAAGTTTCAAAAATTTTCGTTTTTTCGTTTTGATAAAATAATCATTTAGAGTTTCTTTAGCGCATTACCAGAGGTGAGGACGAAACGTGAAGACGGAAAACGTTACCCCCAAGGACGAAGAAATATTTATTTCACCTTTTTTTAAAAGAACAACATGTCTATTCAAACACCTTATATCCGCATAGAAGACATGGACCACCACTAACGTCACAGAACGTAAGTATGGTCACAGATCATTGGATATTATTATCATCCTTATTAACAAAACAAACATAAAAATCATCATTTCGAAATTCATATTGACAATTGATTTATCGTTGACAAGGTGTCCAAAATTTACCCAAACGTCACGCAGTAATAGTTACATTAATGTATGATTTGGAGGAAGCTGTAAAATGACTCGTTACTACATGATTCTGAGGAAGTTTATGTAATACAGTAATTGTTGTTATTTTCTTACTCCTATTAAATGAACATAACAGCTTATTTGCAAGGAAAATGTTTGAAAGGAAATATTTTTAAAACTGTAAACATTCGGAATAATTTTCAATTCATAATATGGTTAAAAGAATTTTCCGAGGAATGGAAAAATGCAAAAATATATAAGCTACAGCGTTCAGTCGAAGAATTCGATACACATTCTGCAAACCTGCAAAGTCACTGTTGACGTAAAATTCAAAATATGCCAGAAACTGTGAGGTATACGAATATTACATATGAAATATGCATATTTCAGAATGTCTTAATATAACTTTTGTCCTCAGGTTTTTTAAATATTTTGTAATTTCTGAGATAAAAAGATGATATTCGGTACAACCAATTTAGTTATTCCAATGATGCCTCAACCACAATCTGGCGAATGCGCTGGGCAGGTCAAATGTGAAATCTATTTACATATTAGCCTATGTTTTAACAGACTGAAGCCATTGGTACATACATCGCGACAAGAGAACAAAGAAAAGAGAATACTCTCTTTTGTCCCAGTAGTTGTTAACTTTTTCATTATTCTGGCAACTGAACAAACAAGTTTTTATTTGAAAATATAGGTATGCTGTTTTCGCACATTGAATTTGGTTATATTTTCGGGCAGACTCAACTCAGGAATAGATGTGTTATCCAGTATTTCTGCGAAATAATTACTTGAAAAAAAAAGACACGACTGGCGTTTGTGTAATAAAAAACTAAAATTACTGTCGTGTAAACGAGCGTTTGTTAAAAAGAAGTGACGAGAATATTCACGTTTTATTCACAAATCTAAAACATGACAAAAATACATAGAAAAAGAGCTTATTAAGTCGTCAAATTGCCTAGCTTAATACGACTAAACAAATAAATATTGAGTTTTACATTTGGTTAGTTTTGGTGATTCTAGAGTAACATTGCCAATGAGTTTCTTAATAGGATACTTTACTTTCATTAATATATGGATTAATAAAAAAATCAAATTTTAAGCCGCTTTTGTTATTGCTATTAAAAAATATAATTTCATTCATGTTTTCCTCGAGTTTTTGCAAATAGACTCTTTTTTGCATGGCAGATTAGGGAACTAACAGATCGTCTGTATAGAATTTTAGGTAAATTAAATTAAAAATTAGAAAAAATTTATTAAAAAGATTTTAACCGCAATATGACAAAAATAATAGAAATACCTTACTGATGAGTCCTTTTAGAATTTTTTCTTCTTCATTTGCTATTATACTTTGAACCATATGCAGTAAAGTATCTAGGCAATTTTTTTATACTGCACATATTGTCGTAGTTATTTGTAATTATTTATTTTGTGAAAAAGAAGGTTTTAGTTAGTGTTTTAATGTGCGTAATGAGTGACGCGATTCCCCATTGTATTTTATCAGTTTTATCAATATGACACGCCCGTATTGGACGAACCACGAAAATTTCATTTTACTTTTAGTTGTAAACAAACCGCTGCATACGTTTATTTATCGGGATAGATCTTAGCGCACCGAATTCAAAAATATAAAATTTTGCGCTTATATTTTTGATCTTTGATATCGATTCGGCATCCTCGGCGAAAGTTAGGTAGAAAATGTAATCTAAAAATATAGTTCTTACAATGAAAATATTTTAATATCACAAATTACTTTATTTAATTTATTTCATTTTCTTAACTGAGATTTTCTTGAAATGACAAATTAAAGATTGAGTTCGTTAAAATTATAAATATTTTGCTAAAGTTTGATAAACAGCACTTTAGTCACGACTGACTGAAAAAGGTTTGGAATAACTGAAAAAGGTTTGGAATATATTTTAGCAAAAGAATACGAATATAATCACCAAGTCATATGTGGCATGACCACGAGAACTGACAAAAGTTAAAATACCATCCGCTATTAAAATATAATGAAAAAATCGCTCCCAAACCTGTGACTAAAGTACCGAAGTGGCTCGCGATGCGGTAACGAAGTTGGTTTACTAAAGTGACGCTTCTCGCAGAATTTTGTGTTTTAGAGTAGGAATTAGGAGAATAATTTTAAATTTTATATTAAACGTGTTTGTCAAACCTGATCAAGTTTTCGAAAAATTTGGAAAATGATAAGAAAATAATAACAAGTAATGTGTTTTTACAACGTAACAGGAAGAATTGATGGATAACATCAATCTGGCCACCCATTCAGGGAAACAAAAATAGACTATTGATCTTAGGAATGTTTTGAGAGCTCTTAAAAATTTGGAAGAAGACCTTGTCCGTGGTCACTTGGATACCAAGGTAGGTAAAATGACAATACTAGAGTCGCAAAATAATTAGTTGCCTCTTTGCGAGGTTTTGGAAATCCCTACAATACCAAATATCTGCTGTAGGCTGAGCAGATAGAACTCGATTACGCATCTTGCATCCCGCCGTAATATAGATTCCTGTATATCTTCCCGAAATTTCAGCGGCGTGACGGCGCATCTTCAGATATCATTTCCCGGCGCGTGCCCCGCACCGGGAATCAATAATGTTATCGCGTGACGTCACCGGGATCGCGTTCGCCATTGGTCCGCCCTAAACTCATCCCATTATTTATTAAAAGTGTATGAATGGGTAATTGCAACTGTGATATTTGACTGTAGATCGCTCAACACAAACAACCGAGGAATAAAAAGGGCTCGAGCTCTAAACGGAATTAGCACGGGATATAGTGCGGGTATAGTAATACTCCGACCGATAGTGGAACTCGCGTCTCCAGGTCTATCCTGCATGTTAATTTGTGGTTATTTCGTTCGACATCATGGAATACTCGAGGATATATTTCTATAGTGGACTCTTCAATAGATAGTTGTGATCAGTAGGGTGATGCCTGAAAAGGGCTAGGATGGAGGAAGGACCGGATTTGTCCCATTTGACTCCAGAAGAGAGGGCCATTATCGAATCGGTCATGGTTCGCCAAAAGCAAGAGGAGGAACGGGAACAAGAAATTATGAGGTACAATTTTGGCATTCCTATTATCTGTTGGAGATACTTTTCTTCCTTCTATTTCCTGAACGAACCATTTTGCCTAATCTGGGAATGTTGGTTCAATCGATTAAATCCAAGGAAAATCTTTAATGTGGATCTTGCTATTTTGTGCATTGAAAGTAAATGTATTAAAAAATTATATTCAATACACTAAGAATACGAAAGGGAATGCGCTGGGTTTTATTGTATTTATTCTACATAGAAACTGTGTTAATATTGACAACCAATTTTGCAAGTACCAGAGGCCAATAAACAATTAATGTTGGGCTTTACTGGGGTAGGAAAGATGATGCTTTGACGTTATCTGCAGGTTAGGAAGAGCTTTGACATTTACTTTACTGAAAACCTGGTAACAAAACGATCCATTTTCTAATATTAACACCAATGTGCTTATTTGTAGTTGTATTTTTCTAGCTAGATTATTCTAGGACAAAAATTTCGAAAAGTCAATTTTGTTGAATGTATTTTATATTTACGTACTGATAGTTAAACCACCATTTAATTAATTATCGATGTCTCAACAAAAGTAGTAGTCAATTTTTAACTCGATTCTATAAATGAAATGAAATTTCGTAGCAACCGGCAGTAATTTTGAGGGGAGTGAGCGAATAACAGGCACGCTGTAAGTCTAAGTGACAATTCCATGTGGAACACCAAAGAACCAAGCGATTTTTGACATATCAAGTGAAATTGAGTAATTGAGCTTTGCTTTTTAACGTATTGAAAAGGTGATTTTGCATTATGTAGAACCTTTTTCGTGGAATCCAGCAATGTAGCTCTGTAGCATTGTACCAATAGGTTCCGTTTTGCAATTATAATGGTTTTTTAATGAATGAATGAATTGTAGATTATTTTTTATTTTAAATATAATGACACAAATAACAAGACCAATATTCTACAATAAGAAAACTTGACGGGTAGATGAAGTTAATATTTTAGCCGTTGTAGAGGTAAATCCATAAACATAATGTAGAGCCATGCAGGCAGAAGTTGTTAGAAGAGTTAATCACATTATTAAAAAAATCTTGAAAAAGTAGTAAAGTGTCACGACAATACCATTTAAAAATATTGCTGAACCCTGAAATAGTGAACAGCTGAAATAGTGAGATAGATACATAATAACTGTTCCCATTGCAACGATCAAAAGGCAATGCAAAATAAAACAAAATCATAGAGTGCTTTAATTAACGTATGCAGTGATATAAATAAATAAATAATAAAGGGCAGTGTCAGTGTACATTTTTACCGTTATATCCTCGCAGCTAATTTAAATGAATCACAAAAAAATGTAATAGCCTTCAAAAATGATTTACCAAAGCATTATCGAAAATCATGTATACATATTCAACTGCACTCGAGGTGATATTGGAAATTCGAGTGTAAATCTATTTCAGAAACGTCAGACAGAAAATTCAGAATGGGTAAACTCTTTAATGATGTTTTTCTAACTTTTTTGTGATCGCCATGAAATAACTTTTCGATAATTTTATTATGCAGCAACTCACTCGGCTCGATTATTTCGGAAGTTTGGAAGTGTGAATAGAAAAGAGGGAAGCGTAAGGCCCATTAACACGAGCCTCCGACCGACGCTGTTGAACAGAGGAAAAATGGAGCAAAATCAAAAAACTTTAATTTCTCGGTTCCAACAACAAATTAATTTATCTAGTGACACTTGCAACACATATATGGAGAATCATAGCTTTATTCCAAAAGAGTTTGGATTGAAATTTCAAGACGCAGGAAACCTAAAGGAAAATTGAATTTATATTAGTCCTGCCGAGAAGAAAGCTATACTCCTTTTATTAATGAATTACATAAATTTTGAATACTCTTCACAATCATACTGCCTGATTTTATAGTCTTTTATAAGAAGCCTAATTTTTAAGATTCCTATTCCAAACATTAGATTCTGGAAAATATACAACGCCAATCTAATGTGATATTAAAGTTTGGATGTTGGAGGAGAGTATTTTCGGCATACTCGTATATTGTCATATTGTTAATTTTGGAATTTATTGTAAGCTTTACTTTTAATTTTTCATTTTACTCATTCAATTTTTGTTAAGTTGTTTACTAAATAAATAAATATTCATAATAAAAAAAAAGAAAATAAGTTGTCAAATATTTAAAAAATAGGCTACATGTCTGCAATGAAGTTTATTGCAAAGGCCCCAGAAAGTAAATACGTTTTGTCAAGTTTATTAATTTTCATTTTTACTCGTAAACAAGACATGTAAGCAAGATACTAATACTAAAGGGCAAGAAAAGTTGTACGTTTAATGACTGAAAGTAATATATATATATACTGTAAGCAAGATACTAATACTAAAGGGCAAGAAAAGTTGTACGTTTAATGACTGAAAGTAATATATATATATACATATATATATTCTCACGTATTGATTCACGGATGGAAAAATGTGATGACACTATATTCCGGGATATCATCCGTTCGCTCGTTGAACTCCGACTGGAATCCTGAGGTTTCGAAGTGTTTTCGGAGCGCGAGCATTGAAGATGCCAAGTGAGATTTTGGCGAAACGTCTGCAGGATTCCAGTCGGATGCAAGATTTGCAGGATTCCAGTCGGATGCAGGATTCCAGTCGGAGTTCAACGAGCGAACGGATGATATCCCGGAATATAGTGTCATCACATATATATATATATATATATATATATATATATATATATATATATATATATATATATATATATATATATATATATATATATATATATATATATATATATATATATATATATATATATATATATATATATATATATATATATATAACCTAACCTAAACCTAACAAATTTTCTTTTTTTTTTGGTTGGATGGCAAATCGTCAATCGAATGTTGGTTCATGTTTCTTAAAACACCCTGTATATTGACAAACAATAATCACAACAAAAACAATAGAAATTTTTGATGCCTTCGTGAATTTTTTTATGATCGAAAAGAATAAAGAAAGAAACTAAAGCAATAGAGATAGCAAGTATAGTAAAGAATATGAAAAATACAAAAAACAAAAAACCCAAATCAAAGAATCAAATTATAAAATCAAGCAGCAACGAGTGAACAAAATTAATTTTGGAAATAGGAAACATTAAGAATTTCAGAACACTTCCAGTTATCCCCCTACTTTTTCACTATTTTCAATTAACATTGTAAGAAATCGTTTTTTTAATAGTATAATATGCAACAAGTGCGGTAAACGGCATTTGCGCCAAGAGTGACTTGCCCAACGTGTTGCATACTATGCTTTTTCTACGACCGTTAGTTTTTGGGTACATTTTCGCAAAACAACACGAATACATTCACTGACATGACCATCAGAATTGACAAACGTCAAAATTGAAGCAGTACTGTAATATCTCCGAAAACATCCGATTGCTGTCAAACCGCACGGTAAAATCCCGGAAATGTCCGAAGTGGCTCGGATCCGTGGGAAACGAAACTGACGTGGTAAAGTGACGCTTCATGCAAGCTAGATCGCCGTATAATCAAGTATTTTAAACACGGGAGTAGAAAAAAGTATACCAAACTTGTCGCATACTATACTTTTTCTACAACCGTTAGTTTTTGGGTACATTTTTGCAAAACAACAAGAATACATTCACTGACATGAGCGTCAGATTTGACAAACGTCAAAGTTGAAGTCGTGCGGTAATATCTCCGAAAACATCCGATTGCTCCTAAACCCATGCGGTAATATCCCGGAAATTTACGAAGTGGCTCGGATCCTTGGGAAATGAAACTGACGTGATAAAATGTCACTTTCCGCAGGCTAAATCAGCGTATAATTAAGTATAATTAGAAGGAAGTAGAAAAAATGTCAACACCCCATAGCTTTTCGTGTTGTTGTATTAACAGCATTCCTTCTCCTACTGGAATCTTTGCGAGTTATCCATTCTGTGAGAATCGGAGTAAAATATTCTGAATTTTTGACATACGACTTTGCTCTTTCCACTAGGGTGTACTAACTTTAGCTTTTGTGACTTTGTTCTGGGGATAAGTTCTGTTTAATCTTAATACATGAATTTAAAATGTTCGACTTGTTTAGTCTAAATAAGTTTCCAAAAATCGACGGCCTTCTAGATGTTTTGGTTAGTTTTAATTAGTTAGTGTGCTGCAACTGGTATAAGCTGATATCGCTAAGAAAACTATATAATCATGATGATGATTCCTAAATATTTTGGACTATACATCTATGGCAGTTATAGTTGCCTGCGATAAACCATTACTGAAAGATTTTACATGTAACGGTGAAGTTTGTTACCACATTCTTTTTGAAATTTGAAGGTATGTTCCCGAACATCGATATTTTGGCCTCTCTAGAAACTCTAAACTTTTCAATTAGATGGCATTTGTTACGTCTGAGTGGTTCTGAGTAATGGTCAGTTTAGTAGCTCTTCTCTGGAGCATTGGTCCACACGGCGTGCTTTAACATAAGCACTCTGTAGTGCGTCTGCTTTGGTTGGGTATAAAAATCTTAGGGATCCAGTGTCATCTTGTCGTAAGTAGATATTACATGTTAAATCTTTACTTACTTTTATTACTAAATGCTTTCTCAACCCACGCAACTTTCTCAACGGCGACAATTTTGTTTAGAAATTTGTATCGCTGCTTCTACGCAGTTGCACTGAACATAAAACGAGCAGAACTTATTTTTGTTACCCATTGGGCATATTACCTGCATCTTTTAAAATAACAGAAGACTTCGGCTTTATCTTAAAAAGGACCTATTTAAAAACAAAATTTGCAGAGAAAATATACCCTCTCACCAGAAGATGAATAATACTGTACCCGTATAGTAAGATTATCATCCCAAATTGATAATCTTTTAAGAAAATGCATTGTACGAGAGCATCTATATGTTTATTTCGAAAAAATATAATGTTCAAAATGTATGTGTATGTTCAAGGTTGAACCCATTTCTTATCCACATTAAAAAGACTCAGCA